TGGGCAAGGATTTCCTTACAGTTCCTGAACTGACACAAGACCTGTTGAGGGAGGTCGTTGAGAAGCAGGCCAGCAGCACCTCTCCTGTTCTCTTTGTTTTGTCCCCCGGCTCTGACCCTAGCAGCCTCGTAGCTCAGCTCGCCGCCGCTGTACAGCAGCCAATTAGCTCCATAGCAATGGGTAGCAAAGAAGGATTCGAGTTGGCGGACAAGGCTATCGCCAAGGCCACTCGACAGGGCACTTGGGTGTTGTGCAAGAACGTCCATCTTTCTCTCAAGTGGCTGCAGGATCTAGAAACAAATCTACACCGCGGCCAGGCGCACACGAATTTCCGTTTGTTCCTGACTATGGAGTACAACCCCAAGGTGCCTGCCACTTTGGTGAGGGCCTCTTGCACGTTCGTCTTCGAGCCGCCGCTCGGCATCAAGGCGTCGCTCTACAGATCTTACGCGATGCTCTTTGGTGCCAGTGCGACCCGAGGCACCGCCAGTCGAAACGCTGCTCACGCTCAGCCCGTCCAGGCCCCTGCAGCGGCGCGCTGTCGGTTACAGTTCCTCCTGGCTTTCCTGCATGCAATTATATTGGAGAGGCGAAGATACGCACCAGTTGGGTGGTGCAAGCTGTACGAGTTTTCAGAAGCCGACCAGAAGTGTGCGTTGAGCATCGTGGAGTCCTGGCTTGCCGCTGTGGCCCAACGCGGCGACAGCGTTTCAGATCATGTGGCGCCTGAGCGGATTCCCTGGACTGCGATTCGAACTCTTATAGCTCAAGTTTGCTACGGAGGACGTCTGGATAATGCTGTCGACGAAAGGCAAGANCGATTCGAACTCTTATAGCTCAAGTTTGCTACGGAGGACGTCTGGATAATGCTGTCGACGAAAGGCAAGATAACAAGCCAGGCCGCCGTAGCAGTAGCTGTAGTAGCTGCAACACTTCCTTTAGAGGAGAGTCTTGTTGAAATTCAGCTTTTCTCTCCATATTTGGGTCTCCGGTGTATGGTTCTTTTCTATGGTTTGCTTCAGGGTGTTGCGATCCTTCATAGATTATTTGTTTCGTCCTGAGGCATTTGAATCGGACTTCTGCCTCAACATGCCGACATTCGGGAAGGGCGCGGACGCATCGCCTGCCGATGCGTTGCGAGCACCCGCTGAGCTGTACAAGACCCACGAGCAGTACTTGGAGTGGGTGGATTCTCTACCTACCCGCGATATGCCCGCAT